GACAGCAAGAAGCCTCCCAGATCTCCAGATGCATTTGAGATATCAAAAAAGTACTCCAGAGTGTTGTTCAGCATGGGGGTGAGTAGAAAATGAAGGCTAATCATGTTTTGGGTGTACTATTCCTTTAACAGTGTTTTTTTAATTTACATTTAAATACTCATGTTATATACATTATGTAGGATAATGTCATATGGTGTGACAGGTAGGTGAGCCCTGCTCTCTATTGAACAGTCTGTAGCATTCTCTAACAGGTTTCCCTCCCCTCATAGACCTGTATTTAGCAGAACTCATCCAATCAGACCTCTCCTAGCAGGAGAAGGCATGATAAAACCACCATCAGTTCCAATGGGGATACATTCAGGGAAAGGTCCAAAGTTAGCCTTTTCTGAGTGGATTTAAACCTCAGCTTATTTTTAATCTAGCCACAAAATCTTTACATGTTTGCTATGATAACCAGAGAACTGATTACAGACTTCAAAATAGACTTTGACAGCTTTTAACGGTTTTCCTCTGGCCACTCACTCAGCACTTTCTCTTACCTGAGTAGCAGATTTATCCGCTCCCCTACAGCTGCCATCTATGGAGTGAATTTTGTTCCATCATTGTTGCAAGTAAAGAGCAAAATTCTTTGTTCTTGAAATTAAACTTTTTAAACTGTTTTGCTCAGTGAAAATGTTTTGATTTTTTCCATTTTCTTACAGGTTTATGTTTTTTTTTATTTATTTTTCATTTCTCTTTTCATTTTAAGCATTAGGAATCGCATTCTTTCAGATTGCATTTAACAGATCATATTCATTTAAATTCAGGCGGCGAGGTTTGCTGTCGATTCAATAGCAAAGACACATTTCTACTGCTCCGCATGGATTTCAGCAACGTGTTTGTCAAGAGGAAGCATTTGTGTTTAGTGAAGAAACATTTATCGATTAAACACTCTTAGTAAAGAAAGACATTCACTCAAGCTGAAAAAAAAATAGTAAAAAAAAATAATAAACTTTTAAATTCTTCTCTCAATTAAAATTCTTTCCAAAGTTTTTTCCTGGATTTAATTTTTTTGTTATTATTATTATTAACATTTACATTTTTTTTTTTACCTGCAGCAATAATGGAGCACAATTCCCTCCATACCAGTGGCCTCTCTGCTGCTTCCCTTATAAACGCTCTCCTCTCCTATCCTGTCGTCTGAAGTGATCTGCCATGTCATGGTAGGTTTGCGGTTGTTCCTTTGACTGAGGATGGATTAAAATTAGCTCACTGAAATGCTACAAGTTTATGATGATGTTTTTATAACCTAACTGTGCTTTAAATGCTTCTTCATCCTTCTGCCTGAAGCTTTTTGGTCTATAAATGATGCTCTCTGTTCACCAACGTTCTCTAACAAACCTGAGGCCAGAAACGGAGCAGCTGGATTTATAATGCGTTGATATAAAACAGAGAGTGACGCTCTTTACTAAAGGCATTTATCAACTATTGATTTTATTAAGGGGTAACAGACATTTGAAAACCAAATATAGTATTTCTTAGACTTTACGGTTCTTTATCTTGAACTTTCACACGTTTGTCACTTGTTGTGACAATTCCAAAAAAGTAAAAAAAAAAAAAAAAAACAATCCAATAGACTTTGTTTCCAAGTTTGAAGAAGTTTCTCTTCCCATCCAGGAAGCTTTTTCAGTTCATTTTGAATTAAAAAAACCTTTCTGGATGGGACCATTGTGACAAAATATTGACAAATTTCATAATCTGTATCATTTTTTCTATAAAACACACAACACATTTCAAAGCTTTATATGTTATCGAAGTGAAACTTATTTTAGCATTTCTATCTGAAACCTTTTGTCTTTGTTACCTGTAGTCAGTGCTTATTAAACCTTTAAAGAGTGACCCACAATGTTTGCTGTGCCATATTTGCATTGTGGTTGAACTTCCTCATTTGAAGCAGACACACCCAGACTCCCACCACAGGTGTGGCTTTTATCAGAAAGCAGCCATCCACCTGCTCAGAGGCCGACTTGCAGCCATAGCTGGAGGTTATCATCAGAGATAATAACCTGAGGACACTGATGCTGCCGAAGTTAAACACTGAAGCATCCATTGGCAGCATGAATGCCTTATTGAACTCTTGCTAACAGCTCTGCTGATGTGGTGACATAATATTTAGTTTAATTAGGTTATTTTTAAAATGTAAAAACATAGATCAGATACAGAGAGATATAGTTTTTTGGGGGAACTAATCTATTAAACAGCAAATATATTTTAGTTCTAAAGGGTTTGACACAGGGGTGAAGCTAGAGGGGGGCCAGGGTGCCCAGCACTGTAGATCCGATTCACCAAATCCAGAACAAGCAGTTTGACTTTTATTCGCAGATTTTTTAAATTTCTTTTGTTGGTGATTAATAACTCTGCTTATAGCCGTAGTATAAATAATAAAATCGGTAAGGTAACTTGTTTTTGAACAGCTGGTCCAGGAGTCCAACCCTGTATATAAACACTGCAAACCCTGGT